AACAATTCAGAATTTCTGTTTTAAGACAGATCCACTGGGGTCTGCAGGATCTACCATGGATTGGTGTTGTCTCTTTCCTCTCCCTTATACTCAGGACTCTTGTTTAATGACAAAATGCCTTGGATGGGGCTCCCTTAAGTTCCTATTCTTATTTTTTCGAACCCCAGTTTTGATATAGTGGGCTTGAGTCATCCTTGGGAGGTTCAGGCTTAGAAACAGGCAAATCAAGTCTTGGGGCTGCCAACAAGGATTGAGATATAACACGATCCTTGATTGGTGGGCTTGGACTGTTATGTGAGTACATTACAGTTTCTGTCACTTTCTAACCAATTTCCTCTGTGTGTTGGGGGGGGCGGAGAGAAATACTCCATTGGCCTCAAGGGCTGAGTTTAAATTGCTTTCTGTCACATAGAAAACATATCTGTACAATGTTTAATGTAAACCTGCATTCCAATTTGTATCAGTGTCCAAAAGGGGAAAGTAAATGAACACTTGTAATCACCCTGCAGCTGGTCATGACTTATCTATTCCCACATCCAGCCTCATTTTCCCTGAGGTCACTTCCTCTCACCCAGACATGGTTCACATTCACCCACTTAGAGTCCTGAGGCTGGCCAAGCCTGGGGTGGATCTCTAGCCCAGCAAAAAGATGACACTTCATGTCCCACGGCAGCTGATGTCTCTTTCCGAAAGTCTCCGTGGCTTATCTTGCTGCTCATCCTATCGCTGACCATTTGCTCTGTTCTGTGCTCTCCCTCATGTCTGCCCCACATTTCACCTGTTTTCTGACTCTCGCAATTTTGTCTCCACCATTTACTCGCCGTGTGACCACAGGAGAGTGTTTACTGGTCTACATCTTAACTGTAACCTGAATATAAAAATAAATCTCTATCAAACTTATTGTGGGGATTAAATGAGACACAGCAAAGAGGGGGAGCATCCAGGATACCATTTGCACTGTAATGGAGTCTCAATAAATTTTAAAGTTGAATGAGAATAGTAATAAAAATAATAATGAGGTAATATTGAAGACTATAAATGTTACAAACCTTTTCTCATAGTTCTCCTCACAATAACCCTAAGAGGCATGTATTATCAGCATCCCACTTAGTAATAAAAGAAAAATCAAAGTCATAGAGGATGGAGGTGGCAAAGCTCTTGGTCTTCAATATCACGTTCTGTTTTCTGTAATCTGGTTCCAACAGTTGATAAAAGACACTGCGAAGTGTCACATCAGTCAACATGTTTAAAGAATGGTATCTCCCAGAAGGACTAGGGCTCCCGTTAGTTATTACTATACTTTTGAGTAGAAGTATACTATTTAATGAGTTCAAAGACCTGGACTGCCAAAAATTTAATGACAACTGTGAAGCTTCTCCTCAGGAAATTATAAATGACCTTACACTCATAAACTGCTAATAATCTCAAGGGCTTCAAGGACACTGCAGTCTAGCCCAGAACTCCCCAGAAGTCCATGGTGCCCAGTTAAGGACTGCTACAGAAGAAGGAAAAATCAAAGTCTTCTCATTTTCCTAGAAAGTCAAACTTAAAACCTTAGAAACATCTATTCCTTCTTAACCCATATCTAGGTAGTCACACACTCCAATAAATGCCTTTCTACTTCACCAGTCACTTACCATTCTCAGCGAGGCTGCTCCCTTAAATACTCATTACTTAGTGCCTGAATGGTTGCAGTGGTTTCTTAACTTATCTTTTGGACCTCAGTCTCTCCCTCTTTAACACGTCCTGAACATCACTACTATTCATATTAAAGCAACAAATGTTCATTGAGTAGCTGCTGTTGTGATGAGGTCACAGAAAGGAGAGATGCAGAGCTCCTGACCTCAGGAAGTTTATAGTCCAGTGGGAAGACAAACAAATAATTTTAATATAACTACTGTGCAAAAACAACACAAGGTACTAGGGGAATTTTTCCTAGCAGGGAGAAGGGAAGATGTGGAATCTTTCATGGAAAGATCAGAAAAGCTTTCTAAAACCCAAATTTGATTTTCAAGACCAACAGAAGTTATCTAGAAAAAAAATGGGGGTGGAGGGAGAATGGGGACAGAGTTCAAACAAGTTATCCAGCATGACCAAAGGCACTGTGACTACCAAATATATCTATAAAGCACTGCCTAATCATCCCACTAGCCTACTTGGAAATTTACAATAATTCCCCATTGCATATGGGACTTTTCACTCTTCATTCTTCTAAAGCCCAGTGCAAATCCTTCCTCTTCCATGAAGTCTGTGCAGTTCCGGTCTCTGGTGCCCTCTCTCCCTTCTCTCCTCTCTTTTTTCATGAATCTCCTAGTGTTTACAAGTTGTACCAATCTTCTAGTATTTACTGTATATTGTTAGTAAGTTTCTTGTGCAAATCTTGCACCATTCCATTTAAGTGGTAACCATCTTATCCATAGGGAGCATGTCTATCAATCTGCATTTGTCCCAGTCCCCTGTCCATAGTGGGGTCCCAAGCAATCTCTGCTTTTGAAAAGAAGATAAATTTTCTAATAAGCAGTAAACTAATAAGATCATAAGGCTGTGAGTGAATGGAAATGAGAGCTAATCCTGTCTCCTAGTACGTAATTGAATGTCAATCAATTTGTTTTTTGAATGACACAGTTTCCTTATCTGTGGAATGCAAGATATAACCAAGTCAGCTTATAGAACTATAGTAATTTGTATTAAAATGTAAATATTAAATGCTTAACAAAGTTAAAGCACTATATAGATAAAAGTTTGTTTATTTACCTTATTTGCATGTAATAAATGATCAATTTTGCCAATACACATGATCATAAAAATACAACCTCAAACCCTTTCTTATAGAGAGTAGAATCTGATACATGGTAAGGATGTGTTAGAATCATCAATCTGAGGAACTCTGACTACTAAAATATTGATAAGATCCCTATTAAATTTAGAAAAAGTAATGTGATTATTGTAGCTGCTATCCAACTGCAGGATAATGTACAAAATCAGGTATCTGGTATGTTACAGATAGTAAACCCTAGAAAGTGCCTTAGTATTTTTAGATTACACTCTATCTTATTGACCTTGATTCTAAACTAGTCATATATCAAAGAGGGGAAGGAGAAGTGTTTCTTAACAGTAACTATAATCTAGTCACTCACACACTACGAGCATTTTTATGTTTAATTTTTCTTTTCTTGGCATTTACTTAACTTTGCTACCAAAGAAGCTTTTATTTATTTATTTTTACAATGACAAAATTTAGCTTAGTTGATATATAGGTTGAACTGTGTCCCCCAAAATTCATGTCAAAGCCCTAACCCCCAGCAGCTTATAATGTGAACTTATTTGGAAACAGCGTCATTGCAGATGTAATTAGTTAGGTTGAGGTTGTAAAAAAATTTAATAAACAGAAATCTCAATTAAACAGACTTGGGAGACCAGAAGGGGGAGCTTACCTGTTCCGTGAGGGCAATAATAACAAAGCCCAACGGGAAGAAGAAACACTCCCCTTCCTTCCTGGCAAGGACTCAGCCAACGGAGAGCAGTGGGCTCCTTGTTTACTACAGCCCTCCCCACTTCCTCTTCCTCTCCACAAAGGCGTCTTCCTTCCCTTACCATTGAGGGACTTGCACTTGGCTTGTCATGGCTGTAGACCCCAAAATGCAATTCTCTGCTGACCCTGAATAAACTCATCTTTGCTGGAGAAACATCTGACAGTGTATTTGTTTCAGACCAACAGGATCATACTGGCGTAGAACCAGACCTTAATCCAGTATGATTGGTGTCCTTGCAAGAAAGGAGGATGCCATGTAAAGAGAGGAGGCTAAAGTGATGAGTCTAAAAGCAGAGGCACACCAAGCACTACAGACCACCACCAGCTGTGAGGCAGAGGCAAGGGAAGATTCTACACAGAGCCTCAGAGAGAGCATGGCCCTGCTGACACCTTGATTTTGGACTTCTAGCATACAGAGCTGTGAAAGAATGGATTTCTGTTGTTTTAAGCCACCTGGTTTGTGGTGATTTGTCACAACAGCCCTGGGAAACTAACACAGCTGACGAAACTGTCCCAGTATCACCAGAATTCTTAGTTATCAGTTGGAAACCATAATTCACTCCTTCAGATATAGAAGAACCACAGCATTGAGTAATGAAGTATAAGACTGTCAGTTCACCCAAGAGTATTTATTGAGCCCATACAATTTTCCCTCTTCTGTATTGAACACAGATTTCAAATGGATATTTTTCTGTTGTAAGGAAATTGTTCATCTTGGGGAAAATGTATTTCAGAATTTTCAATCCATGATCTTAGTGCTCAGGAAACTGGATTCAATAAATGGTCCTGATGGACTAAAATCATTCATGAACTTAACACATGAGCAAATGATTCCTTTAAGAAATCAGAAGACTCATCCTTTTAGTGAGAAGTGAATACATTTTAAATATAATGAAGTATTAATGCAATTGAATAACTGATAACAAAATTTTCAGTTCCTTAAATTTAAAAAAAATCTTAATTTTATTTCTCTAGAGAGAAGAGTACAAAAAAATGACTAATATCCTATCTTCTATTCTGCCGCATGCATGAGAGGGAGGGATGGCTTTGTCAGCATCCTCAAGGGGAATGAATTCAAGAGTGACTAGAAAATTAAATTATGATATTTGAGACACTTAAAATTAGATAAAGGGAAATAACATAGAATCTCTTTCTTTGAAAATATTTATGTAATTTAACTCAACAATATTCATTTAGCACATACTATGTACCAGGAAACGTTCTAGGGACTACAGAAACCAAAATGAAGGAGAAACTAACCCCTGTCCTAGAGCTCACATCTTAATAGGATCAATAAGAGTGTGAGCCAGAAATGAAAATGCAACGAAATAAGTACCTTAATGTAAACGTGCATGCAGTGTTCTGGAAGTAACAATAAGGAGTGGTCGATTCTAACGAGCATCCTGGAGAAATCTACACATAAGAGTTAATTTCAATATACTGGTTGGCTACCATGGAGAAGGGCCTGACCGAGGGGGAAGGAGGAAGGGAGACTGAGAATCCAGAGGAAACTTTCTAGGTTGGTACTGGCTGAGCAGTAATCTTTCAACAAAGGAAAAAAAAAAAAACCATCATTTATTTAGCATTTTCTACTTTCCAGGCTTTGTGCTATGAATAGAATCATCTAGTGAGGTACTGTGATTGAAGCTACCACCAAATTTTTAAGAAATCTTTGATGGCTGGAGTTTGTTTGGAAAAAGAGTATACCACTGCCAATGAATGTTTCTGCTTCCATATAACTGAAGATACAAATTCACCTCTTAAGGCAAATAGTTCATTTGTTTGGGAAAAGCAACACAGGGAGCTTTTTTATGCAAATAGGAGCTGTGGGATGGAGATGGAGAAGTTTGAGATGATGAGGGTGTAATCTATTCTACCTGATACAAAACTGTTGTTCTCACTGAAGGCTGAAATCTAGTGCTTTAGGTTCTTGACATGACTAGGAATCTGACCTTATAGAGGATCGGGGAAAATCTGTGTTGTTTTCTTTTTATGCTGGTAAAAGTTGGAGGACCTGGGATGCTGGGTAGGATGGAACGGTAAAGACACTCCTTTGGGGTAAATGGCCTTGGCACCATGATAAGGGCAGGCTAAGGAGAGCAATGGACAGAAGACTCCCGGGTACAAGAAATGGCTGACACTCCCTGGCGCCTGGTTTTAAATTACTCTTCACCTTATAAGCCCCTTTTATCATTAGCTTTCAGCAACGTTTGGTTAAACATTGAGGTTGTTCTTACTTACTTTGCCAAGGGCCACCTAAACAAATTACTACAAACTCTGAGCCTTAAATAATAGAAACCTACTGTCTCATAGTTTTAGAAGTTCAAAATCAAGGTGTCTGCAGGACTGGTTGCTTCTGAGGGCTGTGAGGCCAAGATCTGCTCCAGGCCTCTCTCCTTGGCTTGTAGATGGCCACTGTCTCCCTCTGTTTCTTCACATCATCTTTCCTCTTTGTGTATCTCTGCATCCAAATTTCTCCTTTCTATAAGGACTCCAGCCATATTGGATTAGGGCCCGCCCCTATGACCTCACATTAACTCGATAACTTCTATAAAGACTGCAAATATTTTTAACCATCTCCTGGTTTCTTTTTTTTTTTTGGAAAACCTTTCTTCTTTTAACCAAAGGAATGCTGGTAATGTTCAAACCTGCCCTTGTAGCCATAAAGTAGCATAACATCTCCAAATGGGGTTTTCTTTTCATTTTTGTCAATAGCCTTTTCAAGCATCTGTTATCTTTCAGCCAGCTTTTCAAATCCCTCCATGAGTGAAAACAGAAGAACCAGAATGATAAAATGACATTACCAACCTGGGGAGGCTGATTTCCACTTCCTCTTCTTGCATCTCAGAGAACCATTGCAGGATTTGATGAGCAGTAATGAGTTTTTCCATTTCTTCTATGTTCACATCTTCTGCAGGAAGTATGATAATTAAACTAAACTCATCACCTTTATAAGGTAACTCCAAAACCTGGTAGTTCATGGAGGATTCAGAAAAATAACCTGGAACAGAGAAAATATATTGTTAATATACCTGGCAGTTTCCAAATTGATGTCTTAGAGTGTCATGTTTCATATTACCATATTTTGTTCTCAGAAGAGCCTTCATCATTGGAATTTTGACTGCCGCACCATCTTTCTGAGTGAAATTCATCAGCTGCGTGTCCTCTTTTCTGAATTTCTGTTTCCAGTCTCCCTTGAAATAAATGGCATTCACTAGGACAAGCCGAGTCAGAGGGCCAAATTCTTCCCCTGAAAACATGTTTTTAATTTTTCCTGTGAAGGGGGTGGAGGAAGAGGCAGAAAGAAATATGCCATCTTGATTCAAAGGAACTGCTTTAAATAGAATTAAAAGAAAAATTTGTTTTGCTGATAATTAAAACCAGGGTGCTTTATCATTTAAACTTGGCAATTTTGAGAGTAAAGGGGAGCGCTATTAAATATTTCACTTAGAAACAGATACAAACAGGGTTTTACTAGGAAACAGGAGATACAAGATTGTCTCAGGCAAATTTGGACAGACTTAGTAATGGCCTCTCTTTAGTGAGATTATTGTGTAAATAGTTTTTCAGATAGCAAGAACAAAAACTATATACCTCTTTCTGCATATCTGTTGGTCTTTTTAAATTAACTTTATTTCAAGGTTCTTCAGCAAGTTAGTCAGAGTTAATAAGGTCATGGCACCTGCAAACTTGCCACTCTTGCAGCCACAGCCGCTGACGACCAGGAAAGGACAAGAATGGAGTTGCTGGTGTGATTTTCCTCTTCTAAACAACCAGTCTCCTATTTCTATGTCCAATGAGAATTTGGAATCTATGGGATAACAGCATGATCAGGTGCCCTGGAGCTGTCTAGGGCTGTTCTCGTTATGCATCCCATTAGCAAGACTTTCCTGTGAACACTGCTCACAACACTCATCTCACATTTTCAGCTTAGGCTTCTCCATCTGAGGCTTCCCATGAATACAGTAGCCTCTTACACATCATAGTTTTTTGCATCAGAGCATATGCACAAAGAAACAAACTGCTATTAATTGAGGACCTGATATAGGCTTGTCACTTCACATGCATTCTTTTTAACCATCCAGTAATCCTGAAATGCTTTAATGGTACCCTCACTTTAAATGGGGCTTAGTTTAGAACTTGTCAAGATTTGAACTCCGATTTGTGAGTTTAAACTTGTGTTCTTTCTGCGATGTCACTCTGTGGTGCCTTTGGAATTTTTGCTAGCTTATATTTAAATTAAAGCTTAGATTACCATTGTATGACAGAATCATCAATATTTATTATGAAACTTTAACACATCTAACTAAGATGTGTTAATTATTTACAATGTCTGTGGGAAAGTAGGCATCTGAGATTGACAGATTGAAGTTTTAACCTAGCCAAAGATATCATTCCTTCTAACTAAAAAAAAAAAAAACCTACGCTTAAACAAAAATTATTATTAAAATTCTTCCATTAAAAATGCTACAAATAGGTGTCTCTCAAAAAAAAAGAATCTCTATACTTTTCAAAGCAGCATACAATTTCTCTCAACTTTATAATTTCGTATTAATTTGAATAACAGGGAAGCAAAATAGGAGATTTGATCTCTCTGAGCCACAGTTTAATAGGAAAACACTCAACCATTCTTTACTTTAGGATATTAAAAACCATGAATACAATGGCAAATAATGATTTTATGAAAATGGGAAATTTTACCATCTGTTTTGCTTTCTACCCAGGTATTTATTGTCTCTGCACAAGCCTTTGCATTCTGAAAATCCACCAGTTTTACGGCACTCTGAAAAAATTCCTTGTTGCCATGGAGATACTGTTCTTTCACAGTGAATCCTTCTTGAAGGTAGAGGGCATTGGCAAGATTAAATGTAAATTCTTGTTTTTTCTCTGAGGTGGCAGAGAAAAATGACTTCAGCACAGAAAATTCTTCTCCTAAAAAATAATTATAACGTATACTGACATATTGAACAACATAAAAACAACAGCTTCTCAGCTTCGCTTCCAAGCACTCTGATTCATATCATCAATTTTTTGCACCCTTAGGTATAACTAACGATCCTTTCTAAGTTAGTATAAATATTTTAAGCATTTATCTCTTGTGGAATATGCATTTTGTAGAGAAATTGACCCTGATGGAGAAAAAAGTCCGTGTAAATTTGAAATTTCTCAAAAACAAGAATATGCATTTAAACAGGCTGAAGGAAACTCCCTCTTTATAGTCAAATGTAGATCATTCTTATTTGTTGGAAATGTGTCTTTAGAATCGTATTCTTTGCACAACATGTGATATTTATGAAAGAGGAATACTAATTAATGCTGATGGGGATGGGGACTCAGGCAGTGTGAACAATCCTTTTCAATACTACTTTTATTTCAGCATAAGAAAGAATTGCTCTCTTATGAGCAACTGTGCTTGTCCAAGTTTTGAAATGAATGCAGTAACCCCTGTAATCATCTCTGGAGATGCATAAGAACCAGAATTGCCTATTTCTTCAGGTTCATGAATTTATGTACTTTGGCTGTCTATGTGAACAATAAAAATCTTTAACCATTCCAACTGTAAGCACTAGCCAAGTGAGTCTGTCAGAGTCAGCTAAGAATCACTGTTGGCCTATTACTTATTTACCATTGGGTCACTCTGACCACAGTGTTGTCAGGAAGGTGTATGCACCATGAGAGAATTCAGCTCTGTTCGTTGCTCTGTGGCTTCCTATTTATTAGCAAAGGGTACCAATAGTTTTCATCCCCTTCTGGCTTAATTCAGGAACTCGATCGTTAAATCTGGGAACTGTATTTCAAATCCAAGGTTCTTTCAGAATCTTTGTTTCATTTTGAGTTAAATGCTGAAAATACCACTTTCATAACTTACAAGTTGATGTTACGCAATTAATCTCTATTGAAGAAAACATAAATGGTTCATCATTGGATGACGTTCATTGAATACAGAAATAAAAAAGGACTGAGAGAAATTTGCTATCAGGTGTCTATTGGAAAGAAGGGGTGTGTGTGTGTGTGTGTGTGTGTGTGTGAACACTTCATCAGAGAACTGTCAGCCCATACGGCATCTTTGTGCAAATAAGAACTTGTGCCCTCATTGGTGGGTGGGGGCTGTGGTTCCATTGTCTTGCATCTTGTGCAGCTGAGTGGAGACTACTTTTCAGTCCCCACTTGCCTCCTTGTCCACTCATGCAGGCTCTGGAAGGTATATTGCATTCTGTTTAAAACCCCATGATTCTCCATTCACGGAGATATAGACACAGACACGAACAACAAAAACTTACTTCCATATGATTGGATCTGAAGAATTTCAGCAATGCTTTATAACCCTGGAATTCCTTATGTAACGAAGGGGAGAATGTCAGTCTATTTTATTTGTATATACAATGACTTTAGATGCAATCATTTCTTGCTGTTTGAAGCTGAGAAAAATAGCTCAATAGCTGAGAGGCTACAGTGAGCACTTTCTGAGTGAGGGCAAGAGAGCTCCAAAAGAATTAGCTGAGGTCAGAAATAAAGTGGCAGAATTTGAAACCAATTTTCAGGAGTTTGTAATTTATGAACATCGTTAAAGGAATAGGGGGAAAGGGAGAGGGGGAGAAAAAATAGTTCCAACTCACTTGTCAGAGCAAATAAATTTATGTCATGTACTTAAGGTGTAAGACTGTGTGCCCTTTGATAAATCACTGGACTCAGAAGTCAATGAAAAAATTTCACCAATAACACACATTAGGAGAATATAAAGTTATCTGCCTTATAAATTTGATTTAATTTACAGATGAATAATCTCTTTCAGCACAGATCAAAAAGAATACATACCCATGGCTCCTAATAATCACTGAGAATAAGTTTTCTTCATTTCCTAAAATAAAGTCATGGAAAACCTACAGGTCATGAGTGAATGTGACTTCTGGTTTGATGTTACCAGACCTCCAGAAAATGTTCTAAAGTTTGGTACGTGTTTACTTCTCCTGCTATTAAGAGCCCCCAAACCAAGTATGTGTACAATCCAAGAGACCCAAAGATGAAAACAGAGGCAGTCATAGGATTATAGATTATTTTAGCCAATAGGTCCACAGAAGTCATCTAAGCCAAACTCCTCTTTTTATAGTGAGGGATCTAAAATCCAGAGAGATAAGATAACTTGAAAGATGCCCAATCACAAGGTCATTTGGATGCAGAACTGAGATAGAAGTCGACACCTAATTCACTTCATTCTCTTAGAATAAAGAAGCACCTTTAAGTTAGTCTTTGATTAATAAGCAGCATTATTAGAGGCAAAGCAAAATGGGGTGTTATCAGATGCTCAGCAAACTGGAGAAGGTTAAATCCTCAGCAGCTGTTTTGACAAGGGGGAAGAAAGAAGAACTGCGGACACTGAGCGCCCCGATGGGGTAGGATGCCAGGAGTTGCACGACCGTCTGTAGAATAAGCAGCGTTCACCGGAAGCAGGCTGGTAGCAGGAAAAGTAAAATACAGCCTGACTCAGCAGAGAGCCGCTTCATGCATGCACTCTCTCACTCTGTTCTCCTCCGTAACTCTGTAGCTCCTTTCTCTTTATTCCTTCATTTTCCCTTCTTTTTTATTTTCCAGAGTTTAATTTTTACATTTTCTCTCCTCTGAGTTGGTCTCTCTTTTCTTTTTGCACTTACCCTCTGTCTGTGCCTCTCTCCCTTAACAAAGCAAAATGGTCTGGTAGATTTTATTGCATGTGTTACAGTATTAATGTTTAACTGTCCATATATCCTATTCCAAAGAAAATATTAAAACGTTTATTGTTGCTCTTATGATCTACAACCCTCAGTGAATCATTTTTGGAATTAGTTCTGGACAAGTTACTTAACCTTTCTTTGCCTCATTATCCTCATCTGCATAGCTGGGCTGTGTCTACCTCACAAACTGTGAAGATTAAATGAGACAAGCACATAAAACAGTGACTGACTGATACACTATATATGTTTGATAGTGTCATGATAATGATTTTTATTACTATGATTACTAGTACGTTCACAGTCCAGAGTTGTTAAGACTCCTGTGTTCCTCTATAAGATGGATTCGTTTAAAGTAATTCAAATTTTGGAGGCTCTAATTTTGCTAGTTTATCAAGGGATCAACTTTACATACCTCCATAAATGTTCTATTACTTTTCAAAGCAGTATCATGTGACATAAATGTTTCTGGGACTGTCCAGTGGGACTTGCTGAAATCCATACAAACAAGCAAGACTAGATCTGGAACACAGTGGCTACATTTTACATCATTTACCAAGGAAAACTCTTGCAATCAACTTCACTAGCACCAACGCCCTTTCTATATAAAATTGCTTTTATTTAAAATGAAGCAAATAAAACCTTGCAAATAGATTTTTTTTTCAGAAAAACAGTTTCCTAAATAGAATGACTCTGTGCTAAGGTAAATATACTGAAATGAATTATAGTTATAGTGACTCAAAGCCCAAATCAAAAATCTGAATATCTCCCCCAATGTTTGGGACACAACATCTGACGGTGATGTAAAATTTTAAGTTAAAATCATTATGAAAATTGGGAGCACAAGACAGCCAGGGTGATGGGCAACTGCCCCTTCAAATGGGACACCAGCACTGAAGCTTCTATGTACTGCCTCAGATAGGTCTTTATGAGACGAGAAGCCAACTTCTCATGAGCAAAAAGGTCTCAGGTTATGTAAATGCTTCTTTTTTTTTTTCAAGTTTTCTTGAAAAACTATTAATTTTAGCTTTTAAAATGTATAAATGAATGTTTTTTCTGGGTCTCGTTTAATTGAAAAAGTTAAATTTTAATTAGAACACTAATTTGTAAAAGCCTACAAAATAATGAGAGATGCACACACAGATTTCTGGGGGAGGGTGCTCACTGCAGCACGCTCACAGGAGAAGTACTGGCGACCACCGAGTGGTGAAGGGTCAGGTAAGTATGTGATGGTATTTCCGTAAGTGTCAATGAGACACAGCAATTAAAAATACATTCTGAAGCAGTTGCAGGATATGAAAAAACGATCACAACATAGGAATTGTCAGTGGAAGAACATGCGTATCCATATTTAGGGTGTATATCTATGCATATACATACATGCACACACACACAACATAACCTCAACTAAAACCAGCTAAAACAGGCCAGAAGAAAATACACAGATTGACAGTTTTTGTGTGAATAGCCTTAATTTCATAATAAATGATTTTGGTAACATTTTCATGAAGAAACAATTATAATTGTTTCCATTGACAATTATTTGCATTTAAGATTCTCCATTTTATTAAGAAAAACCATAAAACTTTTTATACTTTATATAACATTTTTAACTTATTAATGTTCTGTGGACCTGAGCTACTAATAGAGGAACAGTTTAAAAATAAATTTGGCCAGATCTTGTCCAGTATAAATAATCATATGTAAGAAACTCACCGGTTGAGGTTTCCTGGAATTTTAAAGTTTGTCTTATCTGCTCTTGTGCTTTTCCTTTCGCTCCCAGCTGTACCATCCCCAGGGCCAGAGTTGTTCCAAGAGGGGAAATTAAGATGTTGTTCTCATGAGATAAACGAATGGCTTGATAAAGATCCACCGCAAATTCGGTATTTCTTTCAGCCCAGGGTCTTGAAGCTTGACTTCCAGAAAGAGTTAACAGGAGACTCCACAACAAGATCTTCTCCATTTTGACCTTTGTGTGCTGTCTAATTAGAAATTCAGGTTTCAAAGTAATCTGAATTTACCATAGTAAGCTCAACAGGAAGATTTCTACCTATTAAGAACTTTCTGTCTTACTTAGAACAAACTATGATAAGAAGATTCAGATACCACAGAATTTTTCATATTCATTCATGAAACAGTAGAGAATATATTGCAGGGTTTTTTTTTTAGTTAAAGGAGAAATTATAATTCTGGGCTATTATCAATAGCAATACTATTTCTGAATAGCTATACGATACTTTTTCTTATTTTTTCCCATGGTTTTCAATGGGATACTTGTAACTCTAACATCAAGGGAAACCTCTGTCCAGATGACCCTAAAAAGGTTTAAAGAACAAAAGGAGAAGTGGAATAAAAAAAGTGAACACACTCCAGTGTGGTTTTGGACCCACAATATTAGGAAATTAATATATTCTAAATCAATTGAGTTAATCTGGCTCACTGCTTACAGCAACAAGTCTCACACTTTATGGAATTCCACTTCTGTAACGAGAAATACCCCCAAACCCACCTCATACTTTTCCAAAGGGAGGGGAAAAAACTCAGAAAAAATTACAAAGGAACAAAATAACAATCAAACAGAAACGGTACAATAACAACAAAAGAAGAAAGCAGTTGTCAAAAAATCAAAGAGTGATTTGACAAACAAATTAACAAATATAAGAAAGCTTCAGTTGAAAACTGTAACCAATTCACAACACTAATGACACTTTATTAAAGTGCTCTCCAGTAAAACTGCAAAAAGTTCAACCATCTCATTACATCAGGAGCAGAGTGAGTTTTGCAATATTACAACAGACTTGGTAGAATACGGACTCTGAAGTATTTAAAATGAATGAATTTTAAATAAATTTTTAAAATATTTAGAATTTTAGTAACACTAATTTTACCTTACAAATAACACACTTCAGCCACTCTCAATAACTCTTAGTTAGTAGTTTACTAGGAAGGAACCCTTTATTGGGGGTAATGATGAAAATCTCTAGAACAATGTTTTGTTAGCTTAAAGAAATGAAGAACTGTATTTCCAGCATGTTTTACAGATTATGAGGGCTACTATGACCCCTAAATGGTTAAGAGTCACTAAGAGTCATTGTTATATATAAAGATTACTAAAAGTCAAGTACTTTCCAAAACCAAGCTGTAGAGTCATTATCTAGTTATTTTAAATTATTTTCTAATATATGTAGTTCAACGCTATTTGTTTAGATATGCAATTCACAAGGAGAAAAACTCAAAATGCAATCCAAAACAATTGTGAGAAAATAATACGTTAGTTAGATGAAAATATAAATATACGCTATCAAGCTAATGCACTATTGAGGATAAAATTAATACAAGAGTTGTGAGTGGTAGTGCAACAATAGAAAAAGCCAGTGTGTGAGGGAAGTTTTACATGCAAAATGCATTTCTGTGTATCCTTTTCTAATATATTCAATCTCTCAGAAGATTTCTGGCCAAAATATCAGTTTGTAGATATATCAGTAATCAAAACATTACTAGTACTTTTAAGTCATCAAGTGGCAGTTCATTAGGAACATTTTTATGTACTTGGTTTATATCAGAATAATAAATAATTTCATGAAGGATGTAATTTTTCTCTTGTGGTAGAATCTCGGAGTTATCCTGTCATTAACAATCTTAATAATTAAAATATATACTCTTTGAGCATCCATCTTTCCCAGACAATTTCTAGGCACTTAATAAACTATGAGTTCATGCAAAAAAAAAAGAAATTGTTTTAAAAAGTCACTTACCTTGTTGCGTTTTGGATTGTATGTCACCAGAAAACACAGAGCACTGGTGAACTAAGCAATCTGATGAACAGTCCTATAAGAATTTGACCTTCAAGTTTATAGTGACATCTTTTAAGGAAAATAAAAGTAATGTGTTAATTTAATACATTTAAATAATACCTGCACCAGAGTGAACTGAAATGCCGTTCCTCTGCTCTATTAAACACTCATGGTCAATGTCATTGCATACATACTTCATTCAAAAGCTATTTAATTTTAAAGTACTTACTCAAAACTGGCTTCTGATTATTCACTGCAGTGTTACCACTAGAATGTTCTTGCTGGGAAACACTAGTACGTGGAACACCTGATCAGTCAAGGCCAACTCTGTTTATCTTAAACATTGCTTGATTAATTCCTCTAAAACCAAAGCAGGTGTTCACAACATTTGTATAAAAGGACTAACATGACCAGGTTAATGATAAATCATGAAATAGGCAAGAATTGAGGGAGAAAACTGTAGAATTTTTAAAAATCATTAAGTTCTCATTATCATTTCATCCATTATTTCACTTCTTCTATAATAAGTTGAAACAGAATGTGAAAGAATAGGCCAGTGGTTATACATTTGCTAGCAATTAGTTCTTTTGTTTTTCACAGGACTCTCACATCAGATTACCAGTGTACTCTGTCATAAATATTTCAGAACGCCTACAAGAAAAAGAATAAAGCTAAATCAAGTCCAAAATGCAGAGACAAATTACTGCTGCGATTACAGAATTCTCAACAATTCATCAAATTATACAATAGTCAGAGGAGTTTCCTGTGGATACAAGGCTCATTTGAATCCTTAGGAAAAAGAATGAACATTGAAGAAATACACTCTTTATGTTGAGCAGAAAGACCAGATTAAGACTATTGATTTACCAAATTATCAAGATAATACTGTCAAACACAGATAATTAGATAATAAACATTGGTGTGACTTTCATGTGCTTTTAAAGTTCTACATGACTTTCTCTACAAAGAGGTCATTAATAAAAAATGGATGCATAATGGAATGGGTTTTGATCTCATTTTTCTAGTTCAAATCAATCACCTCAATGGCAATCAGACATTAAACACATTATGTTACTCGTCAGAAGCCTCTGAGAAGAGATGGAAAATTTGGTCCAGTTTTAATTAAATAAATATTCACTATTGCTCACTAAATGTAATATTATTTCTAATAAATTTATGAGACAGAAAAAAATTAATTTAGATATCTTTAAAAGGAATTCATTTTTTTTTAAAGTTTTCAAGGACCCTGTTAATCTCTTTCAGTGTCTTAACAGGGCTATAACTCAGGCATGAAAAGCCTGATGACAATTATAGGCCATAATCGCTTAAATTACTAAAATTCTTTTTTTTAAACATTTTTTAATTGAGTAATAGTCATTTTACAATGTAAATTAGACTGGGATTTCAAAATTGTAGAATAGATAAACAAGATTACACTGTATAGCACAGGGAAATATACACAAAATGTTATGATAATTCACAGAGAAAAAAATGTGACAATGAGTGTGTATACGTCCATGAATGACTGAAAAATTGTGCTGAACACTGGAATTTGACACAACACTGTAAAATGATTATGAATCAATAAAAAATGTAAAAATAAATAAATAAATAAATAAATAAATAAAATTACTAAAATTCTTTATTTCCCATCTAGGCACCTCTAAATGTTTCCTAAATCTTGGCTTATGTTCTAATATGACTTACTTTAACATAAGCAAACTCAATTCCAGCCTTAACTTAATAGTGTTGGAGATAATTTTCTAAAAACAGAGTTATGCCACAGGAGAACATTACCATTCTTCTTGTTCTACTCTGCAATTCATGAATAAGTCTGAATGTCCAAGATATCATTCAATCAATGTTTTTCTATCCATGCAGTGACACCAGCAAATATCCATCACAAGTACCCTTGGCTACCAAATTACTATGTCTGTACATTACCCAGAGCATAATGTGATTTACCCAGGAAAAGGCCATTACTTTTCCTTCCAATGACAGAGACAGACACTCTGTCTTGGTAAGACCACTTAATGAAGTTGTTCTGTAAGAACCTTATGTTAGGGCAGTTCAAGCAGAATGTATATTGTCCTGTCTCTTGGGGACTAAAAAGCAATGGCCATGAATTTCTCCTCCCTGGTTTAAGTTCTTTTAATAGACCATAAAGATACAACAACTGTCCATAAAATATTGCTGCAAACCTTTTAAATATTTTCACAAATCTGTTCTTTCTGTAATTCTGTTTGCCACTAGAGCATCAGGTAAAAAACAAATGTTCATTAGTGGGAGCCAGAGCATCTTGCTATAAATTTGAGCACCATCACTACCTCCACTGTAAAAAATAAACCTATGTATAAAAATAATAACTAGGGGTTACAGGTTCGATCTCATTATCTTTCTTAGCATTTTATAGTTTTCTAAGTAAAAATATAACTAATTCCCAACTGAAAAACATACAAGCAAATGCTCTCAATAAAGGACGTATAAGTTAATTCTTCCATTGAAGCATGAATTAATTGCAGGCATTCTTTTCTCTACCAGTTTGCTCCATATATTTTGAGTGATAAGAGGAAAATGTTCTGTAAAGAGAACAGGTTAAATTATATTTAGTGCAGTCTACATAGTACAAAGTAGCCTGTTGCAAATTGTGGCACATCTTATTTTAATGTGACAAGTTCCTTTCAGTGCAGAAAAATGGATCTTAAATAATTGAACCTAAATATTAATTTCAGAAACAGCTTATAAAGTCTTCAGTTCTATTAACATTTGATAAGCTTAAAACCCTGCTACCTGCCTACACAATTAGATGCTAGAAGATATAAGACATAATTAATAAATGTCTTTTAATTTTTCCCTTTGTGTGTGTTTCTGTTCCAAATTACTAGAGTAACATTAAAAGAGACTTTCATACTTTTAAAAGCTCTATTCTCATTAAATATAATTATGAGACAGTTTCTCCTAATTCCTTTCACAAAAGAGGCCCTGAGTCAATTAAGGATGGAATTAGGGTCACACACAGCCTAGAGCCACACACATGTAGTAAGCTACAGAGAGAAGTTCTGTCTATACGAACCAGGCTATTTCAGAATAATCACTTCAAACAAAGTCATCTCCAGGGGTTAAAAAAAAATAAAATAAATCTAGTAGAACAATTTCCAAATTGAAACAGAAAACCTAATGGGCTCATTCAATCTTTACTTTAAAAACCATTGTATTTTATGTGCCTTCACTTCAGAAAGCTGATGGCAGGGGAAGTTTGTTCTATTTAAATATGTATACCTGGTATCTAAAACAGTCCTTTGCATGTGCTTTCAATAACTGGATGGATGGATGGATGGATAGATGGATGGATGGATGGATGGATGGAGGGATGGAGGGATGGGTGGGTGGATGGATGAGGAAAAGGGACTTTGCAGAGTATTTGGTACACATTATCTCTTTAACATCTTAATATTCCTTTAAATTTCTAGAAATATGGCTCATATTTGTTCCACTGTACTGTCACCAATCTATAATTCATAGATTATATGCTCTAAGTTTTTGAAATACTGGATTGTCCAATCAAACCTTCCAAATGATGCAAGAACTCTCTGCAATATCCCTGTGAGAGTTACTCAGCCTCTGCCTTAACATCTCAAGCAACCCTTTATACTAAGGCAAATTTTTTTCATTTTTTAAAAAATAATTCTTTGAAACATTTCAAATTTGCAGAAAAGTTGCTGGTGTAATACAAAGAACTACCATCTAGCTCTCTCCTTCTCTGTTTTCCCCCGATTGTTAACATTTCACCACATGTGTGCATTTAATCTCTCTTTCTCTCCCTCTCTTTCTCCTTTCCCATATATTATGTGTGTGTAAATAAATATAAGTGGTGTGTGTGTGTGCTTTTATATATATATATATATATATATATATATATACATAAACATTATAACAGTCTCTGAATCATTTGAGAACAAGCTGCAAACACAATTTTCAATCACTCCTGAACATTTCATTCTATCTCTTATCTATCTATCCATCTATCATCTATCTGTCTAAAATCATGAGTTCACACTAATAATCCCAATCCAAAAATCTCATATATTCAAAGTCCTGAATGAGAAAAAGCTGCAACCTAGGATAGTCTATCCAGTAAGACTATCCTTTAGAATAGATGGAGACAGAAAGAATTTCACAAAAGCAAAAACTAAAAGAATTCAGCAATACTAAAACAAAAAAACAAAAAAACAAAAACAAAAACAAAAACAAAAACAAAAGAATTCAGCAATACTAACTAAACCTATCCTTGAAGAAATATTGAAAAATCTACTCTAAGTAAAAAAGAGGCAGGATGCTAAAGAAAGGAGAAAACCACAATGAGTTGCAAGGGAATAAACATGAAGATGTAAAAAAGAACATAAAAATCATAAAAGGTTGGAGCGGGGAGCAAGAAAATATAGGGGTTTTTTTCTTTTTTTCATTCTTTTTAAGATGTGTTTGAGCTTATATGACTACCAGTTTAAAGCAAACAGATACATAGTAATAATGGGTTAATATACTTGAAAAACAGGGTAACCACAAATCAAAAGCATACAGGAGAGTCACAAAAACCAAAAAGAAACCAAGATAATACAAAAGAAAATTATCAAACCAATCCAAAATCAGGATTCTTTCTAGTTTTCTCCCTTTCAGTTTTTATAAAGACTGTCTGTAACAGTGAGATACCCAGCTCTCATTCTCAATATATCTACTAATTATCCATTTATTTATTCAATATTTATCTGCCCAATATAATCAGTCTCTCAACCATGATGGTCATCTCCTCCACTCATCCTTTTGCTTCCCACCCACTAATTCCCTCTCCCAGTCACCCCTCCCATACTCTCAGGTCCAGTAGGCTTATCTCTGGTGGGTCTTCTCTTGGCAATTGTTACTTCCTTTCCTAGCCATGCAGTTGGCCTGCTGCCAACAGTTCTGCACCAAGATGAGAAGTGAAGATGGGAAGGAAAGGGAAAATAAGAAATCTTTTCATGTTTTAACAGGGATTGTAAGCTACTCTAGAATCTGCCTTCTTACAATTGGACCCATCAGTTGTGCTTCTACTCTCTTTCTTCACTACAGCTTTGAAATATTTGAGAATAGTTTGTATATCCCATGAATTCTCTTTCTTAAGCCAGACCTCCCCATTTATTTATTTGTTCCACTTGAACATGGTTTCCAGGGCCTTCACCACTCTGGCAACATTCTCCAACATTTGTTGAGATTGATTCTTTCAAGTATTTTTCTCCTACATCCTACATCTTTCCCATATGTGACTGTTATTCAGTGAGAAGGAAAAGCAATATTCATAGAAGTCACAAAGTTTGGCTC